AAAATTAATCCTCGTGCGAAAGGGTTAAACTGCGATTACTATTACAAAAGCAACGTGATTCACGAGAGTCAAAGAGTAGTATAATTCGCGCGGCAAGCTGCAGATTGCTCTTTGATTTAAAACGCTCTGTTAAGTCTCACGGTTAAGACGTACGACAAACATTCGTGCAATTATCGCAATTTCTTTTGGTACAAATCTCTCGTATCAATATGCATCTTTTTAAAGTAGATAAACGTAAATAATTAATACCACTACTGCGCAGCGTGTACACGTAATTAACTACGTATTTTCCTCTAAAAATTTCCTCTAAGAGTTTTCTCACATTTTTTCTTCGTTTCTATAAAATATTAATCAATCATAATATGTATTTTATTTTAGACCTTCTATATAATTTCAACGAAACAATAAATAAAATTCCTGAAGAAGTTCAACAGAAGAATCAATTTATAATTGTAAACACTCTTTATAATTATTTTTGTGAATTTTCCGTAAACTCGTGCGTGTAACATAATTAACTGAACAATTTCGCTTTTCTTAATCTATTTAAAATCACTAGGTAGACAAAATATAAATTTAACATTTTGAAATATAATTTACATTTTATAACTTACATTTTATAACTTATTTACACTTTAAGTACAATTATTTTAGAGTTGTGATCAGACAGAGATTGAGATTGAGATTCGATTGGAATTTAACTAATAAGAAGAAAAAGAAATCCAATCTCAAGTTTAGTGAACTTTGCTTTCATTGATTAAATTCCAATCCAATCTCAATCTCAATCTCTAGTCTAGCAGATCAATATGATATTAGGGTTGCATACAGTTTTAAAATTATGGTACTGTGTTAAAAACCGTTAAGTCCCAAAACACTTTTAACTCTAAAAGTTTTGATTTAAATCCGTATAAAAAAAATCCTCTTAAAATTTGTAGATTTGCAATTTACATTTAGGGGTAAAAGAATTACTTTTTCTGACACTTTTCTAATCGACGCTGAAGTAGAGATGTTAAAAATGAAAGTAAAGATAAAGAATGAGTAATAATAGAACAAAAGACACTTGATACACGAGAGTCAAGACTGTAGTTAGTATATACGAACAAAAATTAGCAAAAAAGATTCAATATATACTTATACAGTACAGATCTTCAAGAAATTTCTTAAAGTCGTTCAGAGCACGTTCTTTAAAGAAGAGTATCTTAAGTATTCAGGATATCTTTCAGATAAAATGTACTGTATGGATAGTGTTATTTAAAAAAATTACAAGTAAACTATCAGAGAAAAAAATTACAAATAACATGTATGAATGCCTTGACTCATTTTCCAGTTATTTTTACGAAAAATATCGTAATATATTCTCACACAAGTTCCAGTATAATAAAGATGAAAGTTGTCAAATAAAAAAAATAAACCATCCTTACCTTTTTAACAAGTATTCAACAAATCAATGATTTTGTCTATATTTCTTTGTAGAGTTTTAAAGAGAATAAATTGATATAATTTTTTTTATAGACCAGTCAAATAACAATAAAGTTTTTAAATAAAAAAGAATTTCCTAATACTTAATGGGTTAATTAAACCGGACGTGTAAAAGCGAAACACAAAATATGTAATGCAAAGTAATGTGAAGTAAATCGCGCACAGGTCTAACATACAGAATAAATACAACGTAATCACTTTTCATCGAGCGTTATCATTGATTTATTTCGGTCTTTCTATTTGTAGCATTTTGTCAACAGGCGGCGCAGTTTATTCGAAAATCGAGAGGAGCGAAAATATAATGTAGTATCACGATGTAAGATGTTACATTTAATATGTGCAACCAATATAGGTATATCCATAATAAAAAATGCATTACGTCAAATGAATCCGCGAAAAACTGTGCGTGTAGAACTTTTGTGCGTCATATTCTTATTACTCTAATTCTAATATGAGTAATGGAATAAATTTTGAGCACGAAGAGATACATAGAATAGTATCTTTATAGAATAGTATAATATTCGGTTCCGGTATGATTGCTCGTTAAGGTAAACAAAGAAATTCGGCGGAGGCAAATGGAGTAATTTTCCATGTGTTAATTTATCAATGTTACGGTGTTTATCATGGCGGAATACACACACGTATACACACATACTTTCACGTTACGACGTTATCATTGACAGATGTGTGCCACACAATGTGTGGAGACGCATGAACGCGGGATGTCTTCGCGAGATGGAAAGATTGCGCAATAGAACGAAAAAGTGGAAACGTGAAATTAAGCGTTAACGCGGCCTGTCATGCACGAGCGTCCACGCACGTGGAACATGTTTCGTCCACCGGCACGAAGCCGGATGAATGCACGATAAAATGATGTTATACAGGATGGCAAATAATTCATACCGATTTTTATCGTCTTGGAGAAATCTGTAAACGATGCCACCTTATCAAAGATAATTCACATTTGCCGATGCAATACGCGAACGCCCTGTTTCTCGGGATAGAAGATTCAGTGCGTTCGAGTCACGATTCGTGAGCCACGTTCTCCTTTCTTCTCTTATTTGCGCCACGACATAACACTACGCGTGATAGAAATCATTCCGCAATGTATTCTGCTGGGATCAGGGTGGGGATCCCGAAGTGTCTTCGCGCCCTATATAAGCTTTGTGATTTCTCATGTCACCTTGGTAGTTCCCCAATTCGGGCGAACACTTCGCAAAGCTTCGCAACTCTCATACTTGGTAAGTCTCTCTCATTTGTTTGTTTAATTATTTATATTTTTCAATTGTTATTTTTGTTTTTAAATCGTTATTATTACTCTTGAGACGCATTACATTTCAAAATGATGCGTCAACAAAAAAAAGTCAACGATTCTGAAACAACTCGAGCTTGTTATATCAATTAAAAATGTCTGTACTAAATAATGTTTGGTTTTTTATAATTATTCGCTCCACAATTGTATGTGATAGAATCTGAGTGCTAGAATTTTTATTATATATTTTTCTATATTATATATTTCAATATAGCTTCTTTTACGTAACAACGATATACGCACAGAAAAATACATACTCTATGCAAGTGATAATTTCTTCTTCCAAGTATTTTAAAAATTCATATATCCGCAAATCTATATCATCAGTTCATTACAAACATCAAATTTATTTAACATACATATATTCTAAATTGTAGAGAGTAAGTTTAACACTTCTCTCTCTCTCTCTCTCTCTCTCTCTCTCTCTCTCTCTCTCTCTCAAATCAAGATTATTAAATTAAAACAAAATTGATTTGTTTAGACGCTTGTTCAATCAATTTTATAATATTCTTTAGAAAAATTAATTCTTGTTTTGATAATAATGAGATTTTCCCCAACATTTGTAATAAATATATTTTCAGGTTATTATCAAGAAAATATTTTTTGTTAAATATAACTGCTACTGAAAAGAAAAAAGTAAATTAAGCAATTACCTTTTTTAGCAATAGAATGATACTTATCTGTATACGCATAAATTTAAAATCCAAACATAAATTGTATGAGTATTTAAGCTTCAAGAAATGTGTATGTCTATTTTAATAAGAAATGTGAATTTTTGTGAATTTTAAATGTTTTTAAATAAAAACTAAACCACAATACATCCAAACTTGCTAAAGCTTAGTAAACAAGCCGATATTATTTGTTATCATTTTTGGCGTCAAAATGACGTTAAAGACGATAGTAACAACAAATGACGTCAACTTACTTGCTAGGACATGATAATTTTTAAGTAATAATTATACATGTGTAAAATTATCATCTAAAAAATTATCAGGCAAGTTTGGGTGTGTCGAGGTTATTAATTTTCAGAATTCAGAATTGAAAATTTTTTAATAAAAAAGACATACAAGAGTTCTTCAAGAATCTTGAATTTACAAAGACTTGTCTAATTTACATTTGGATTTAGAAAAACACGCAAATACTGGTCAAGACTGTGAATATGTCATTTTGCGAAATCAGCCTTTTTGCAAAAAGGCTAAGGCAGACTAACCGTAGTTTTGCATAAAGGATAGTTTTTGCAAAAGGGCTAATAAAAAGGCGCAAAGAGGCTGCGCGAGAATACATTTTCCAATGAAATTACTCTTTACCAAAAAAATCAATAAGCGATAAGTTACAGTCTGTTGGACGGTTAAAAATACAATTGGCAGCGTACATGTTCTCTCGTTTATTCGAAGATCATTGTACGGTAGGCCAATGTTTGGTCAAAGGCGCGACAAGCGTCCCAGGTGAAAACTTTTCGTTCAGCATGAAAATCTAAAAATGTCCGGCAAACAAAGTAGTACCGAAAATGATTCGTGTCATGTGATTCCCTTCCTCTTTCAGTACGGCAATGCAGACGATTCATTTCTTTAAGTTGTAACCGGTTGAAACCGCTACCACAGTTTATTCCCTGACGTTTACATAACCGGTTGAAACCGCTTTCCGAGGATCTTGATGTTGGTTTATAGAGGGTTGGATCGCGACAATAATTCGTTTGATTAATTATAATATGCGCACGCGGCAACACGCTCGCAACACACGCGCGTTCGTTACGTCCTCCTTTTCTTTATATTTATATTCAAATGCCTTGATCCTATAGATATTGGGTCGCAGCGTCCGGTATTTTTACAATAACCTTCGATCTCGCCGAGGAGTAGTGATCCTTGCTCCAGTCACAGCGAGGTCGGTACGTCATGACTGTCGTGGTTCGCGTACATCAGTTGTACACCACACACTCGCCGGTTATTCTTTATTTATTTATTTTTTTTAAAGCGCAATGCCTTACCAGTAATTGACGGTATAGCGATGTCGCAAATAAGCTCGCTTGCTCGAAAAATTTCCAAGCTGTAAAAGACTCAGCCCCCGCGAAGGATACACTCGTCCTTGCACATATGTCTCCGCCCCTCCAGCGCACCGTATAGTCAGAAACAATGGCCACTACTCGCTCGCCGAGTATATTGGTTCATATTAGTGGGAGATAGCAGGTAGTTCTCCTTTAGCGTTTCAACGCTCCGACACTCGATCGTTTCGTTCGCAAGCTTCGTAGGTCAAGCGTCATTGCCGAGCGACAAATGTCGAACTTGCGACTCGTCTGACTTGACGCGATCGGGCGAGGCACGGTTAACCGAACATTTAATCAACATCGGGAATCCCGGGTCTCGTGGGTCACACGTGTGATTACCACATCCCGCAGATGTATCCAGGTGCGTCCCCGAAAAGTCCAGTCGCGCTGTCGAAAACCATTACGAAAATTATCGTTTATAACCACGTTTGACTCATATCGTCTTGTATTTACTGACAAATTGTAGCAGTAATTTTCGATAACAATAATTTTCTATCGCTAAAATACTTTGTGGAAGGTGCGTGGGTTGCGCCATGATATATTACTAAGAATGTTAAGATATTTCACGATTGTGTGATATGCTTGCTTGAGTGAAATATGGTCTCTTTCTCACACAAGACGGCGGAAATTTACGAGAATTTGTAAGTGATTACAACACATGTCACGAAAATTTGACATCAGTGCAAGAGATATCATCCTTCGAGGAGTTCGCAAACATACAGGAAAAATCATACGATCTGTAGAACTCTGTGGGATAGCAAGTATTTTTCACGAAAAAAACGTTCCATCGAATCCTTTCAGAAGGAAGAGTGTACACACGCGGGCTTTGATTAAGAAACGTCATATCAAAGTGAGTTTCAAGAGCATGCGTATCATTCTCGTGTTCGTAATATTAAAATCATTGGTACCCAAATTTATTGGTATTTAATCACTTCTTCTTTTTCTCTATAAATAGTCTCATTTTCGTCGTAGGAATTAGTAAAACGTTTTTAATGAATGTAGATATTATTTTAATCTTCGTTTTAATCGGATTAACGTCGACTAGATTTTTATTTTTCATCAAGAATAGTGATTATGAAAGGCGGTTAATTTCGTTAAAATCTTTCAAAAAATTAGTTTCCACACTTGGCAATTCTTCTGATACAACTTTTCGATACACAATTAACACTGTGTGTGTGGCGTCTAATCACTTTAATTAATGAATAATTAATAAGAACGTTGAACCTAAATTCTGTGCCATCGTCTAACAAGTATGACGCGAGCGTTATTTCAAATATTCTATGTATTTTCTTCTACTGATTTTGTCGAAAAAGTGAGACTATGATACTTATGATTGAGATGACCGTAATTCTACGTACGTACAAATTATTTGATTCTTTAGTGCAGTATTCTTTAATGTGCGTGCCACTTTGAGCTCTTCATGGAACTCGACCTCGTTTCGTTTTCGCGTATTAGCATTAAAAATTAGTATTGTTAGCCGGGAGTTCGAAGATGTTGATGCAAAATTTAAGACGCAGTTTGACTTTCCATAAGCTTCAGAGACTACTACTTAACAATATATACACAAAATGCAAGCTCACAACTAATTATATAGCTTTATCAGGATGAAGCGATTGAAGAATCTGCCCTCTATAGAAAATAAAATATTCTTTTACATATATAATTACATTAATTGTTATAACGATAATTATAATTTAAGCTAACTATTCTTATTTTTCTTGTTTGTAAGAAACATTAAATATTTTTTAAAAGGAATGTTTGAAAAGTAATTATTTTTATACATTTTTGTATTAAAAATTATAAGAATTATAGGCCCGATGTATACATAGAGTATTTAGTTTACATGTGTATACACTCAGTTATTTTATTAAATAATCGAATTATAAAAAAATTTTAATAAAAAATGCATTTTAAAAAATTTAATAAAATTTATTTTAATTAAAAAAATTAACACACAAAAAATAATGTATTAACAGTATTAGCTAATAATAGTTTAACTGAAAATAATCTTATTAATTCTATAACAGCATTAATGAAACACATAACATTTTTTTACAAAACTAAGAGCATAATATATCTGTTGAATTAATTGCTATTGAATCAACAAGATTATTTTTAATCAGCTTGTTATTAATTAATATTTAATAGTATTAATACGTTATTTCCCCGCCATGTATGGTATCCTATAATGACTTAAACAAAATTATTTAATTATTAATTAATAAATATTTTAATTATTATTTTTTAAAGTGTTTTTATCAGTTTTTAAAGAGAATTTAAATGGATATCTATTTTATCATAATTTTGTAAGATATTTTATGATAATAAATAACAATAATTATTTAATGGTGTACATACAACATGTAATTTTCGATAATCATTTGAGATACTGTCACTTGTATTGCTGTTAGGTCTTCATGACATACTAAGAGTATTAGATATAGATTATAGAAATATAGATTGTGCATTTCTTGATTTTTAGCATTTATGTTCCGTTAGAAAGAATTGAATCATATCAGCATCTCTCTCTTCAATTCGATATTTTAAAAAGATATATATATATATATATATATATATATGCACGATTCAAGCTACATTAGTTCTTCTATAATAAATACTAGTGACAATAGAAATGTACAGTGTACTTTTACTACCAACTGTCTATAAGTGGAAAAATAAATATATTTAATAAAAGCGTATTTTTTCTATTTTTATTTAAAATATTGCTATGATAAACATTTTTATTGAAGATATTTTGTTATTTTGATCTTATACGTGATAATATATTTTATTAATAATTATCGAAATCACACTTATTGCACATTAATTGAATTTATCATAAAATAATTTATCACATTTTTACAAAATTGTAATAAAATAAGTATATATATATGTAAAATATATTTTATTTAAAAAAATATAGAACTATAATTAAAAATATCTAAAAAAATATTTTAAAGCATTTGTTTAAGTCATTATAATATCTCCATAAACAAAATAGTTTTTATTTAAAAAAAATACAATGTCTTATAAGACCATAATGTGACCACACAACGAATTAGAAATAAAAGCTTTAAACGGTCAAGATGGATCCTTAGTGTTGAAATAATTTTGTGTAAATTTTTTAAATTACACTCAAACTGCGCACTTTAGTTTCAGTCTTGAAGTGCAATTCTACCAGAACTAAAATAGTAATATTACAAATTAAATTGATGTTCATAATATATCTTATTTAATCTTTATATTCTGATGTTGATAAGAGTATCCTAAAATCTATGAATTTTATTATCTTGGTTGAAAATTGGACTCGGATTATTATAAAATTTTTTTTATAAATCTATTATTTAAAAAAATAACTAAATGTATATATACGCTAATACATTGTACATTAAACTTATATTTATTTTATTTCTAATTTAACTCGTTTGCTTAAAATAAAAATAAGATGAATATTAGTCTTATCTTTATTATTTTTTGATTGATTTGATTTCCATTTAATGTATAAAAATTAATATACCGAACAGTAGAGTTTGTTCATGACATGTGAGAATGAATTACTATAAATTGTATCTTCATGAGAGAAAAACAAATATATACCTACATATACATATTAGGTTGAGGAAAAGTCCTTTTACATATAGATTATTATAGTTAATATTACTGTAGCGTAAAATTTCGTGAAAAATATATTAAGTGATAAAAGTGTAAGCCATTTCTTTCTGTAGAATATTTTTTAAGTATAAACGTTTAAACTTTGATTAATCAAAAATCATAAACGTTGTTTAAAGTCATATATTCGTGCGATAATAGCAATATTTTGTTTATTAATATCACGCAACGGTCACATGACAGACTTTTTAACCAACGCTTATTACCAACGATTAGTCAAATTTTAAACGTTTATACTTAAGAAGGTATTTCACAAAAAAAAATGTAAAAAAATTATACTTAAAAAACTTTTTCATGGAAAAAGAGCTTTACACTTTTATTATATAATATATATATATATATATGTTTCATAAAGTTTCACGCAATAATATTACCTTCAAATTTCAGGACATCTTGTGTGTGTGTGTGTGTGTGTGTGTGTGTGTGTGTGTGTGTGTGTGTGTGTGTGTGTGTGTGTGTGTGTGTGTGTGTGTGTGTGTGTGTGTGTGTGTGTGTGTGTGTGTGTGTGTGTATAGAGGTTGCCTTTTCTCTTACAAAGATACAATTTATGATAATTCATTCTTACATGTCACGAACAAATTTTACTGACCAGTATATCGATTTTTATGTATTGAATGCAATCGAATTAATCGTGCATTAGTATATATATATATATGTATATATATTTTTTTTCTTTAAGCTAACGATTTGTATATTGTATTTATATAAACATAAGATGTTAAATTATATCTTACTAATATAAATGTCTACCTTCATTTTAAAAAGGTTCATATTTAAAAGAATGCACGTTTTAAGTATATGAGTTTGCAAAATGTGAAGGATAAACATTTGAATGTTTCATTTTTGAAACTAAGAAAATGCATACTTTTCCAATTTTCCTCCGTGTTATATTTTTAACGATAAGAGCACAGTATCAGTTGTATGATACGCGCAAAGATAACACTTCGTATAAGTATTCAGAAAAAGCCTAATGTGTCAGAATACAGGATGGTCCACTTAACTTGAAAAAACCTTGAATATTTTACTTATTTTTAATGATACGAAAAAATGTTTCCGCCGCGATAAAAGTAGAACGATGTCGAGAGGGACGTGTTTTGGTCACGTTGTTTTTCCAGGTGGAAGCACACTATATGAATATGGAGGTTACCTTCATTTTTTTAAAAATGTAATTATATGATATTTTTATATAATGACTTTTTTAATTATTCTACATGTAAAAATATTAAGATATAGATACCAAGAAAAACCAATAGTTTACAAAATATTTAATATTTTATGCATCAAAATAAAGTATAAAATAGTTCGAAAGCTAATGATTTTTTAAATATTTCACTTCAACACTTTTATATGTAGAATAATTAGAGGAATCATTATAAAGAATTATATAATTACATACAAAAAAGTGGAAGTACCCTTCATATCTATACTATATCTCCTAGAAAAAAAACAACGTGACCAAAATACGTCTTCCTCGAAACCGTTCAATTATTATCTGAAACATTTTTTCGTACTATGAAAAATAGGTAAATTATTTAAGGTTTTTAAGTTAAGTGGACATTCAGTATACATAAACAAAAATAGGTATGTAACATTACCAAACAGTAAACGATATAAAATAAATATAAATAAAAATAAGAAAAAAAAAATGTGTTCAAACATTATAATTTTTATTTTTCTATGAAGGAAGGATCG